TCTATAGCCTTGGATGGCAATTGGTCTATCGCAGAAAGAAGTGGCAAACTACTACGGGAAAAAAATCTGCCTCGTCAGTCATGTATCCAAAGATTGCCTAAGCGTGTATCACGAATTGCACATAACTGACTGACTGACACGCTAATACCCTTGGGAAAAGTATGAATCCTCTTCTTTCCTCCTTCCCCCCCCCCAGCTATGGGTAAATAGCAGGACTGGCCGGGTTCTATAGACTTGGATGGCAACTGGTCTACCGCAAAAATAAATGGCAACCTACTGCAGGAAAAAATCTGCCTCGTCAGTCATATATCGAAAGATACATGATCGCCTAAATGGGTACCACGCATGGCACATAACTGAAGCCTTGGCGAAGCATATGCTATTCAGCTAAGGAAAGGATCGTTCGCAGTGGCTCGATAGTCGCGACTGCAGTCGGTTGAAATTGGCTCATGTCCTTGTGCCAAACTAAGAAAAACTTGGAAAAAATTAAAACTGCCTCCACCCAGCAAAAGTTTAATTTGATGTCCGTTTTAAAACGAAGAAGAATGGAAGACAGCAGTAAAAAGTGCATCGGGGTCAGGTTAAGGCTAAGGAGGTCATTTTTTGTGTCGGATTGAGGGACAGAGCAACGAAACACTTGACATGATGCTATTACAGTTGAAGAGAAACAAGTCAGGTAGAATCCGGCGTTTGTTTGAAGTGAGTAAACCTGGTTTTTGATGACTCAAATTGAACTGATGGCGCTGAACACTTCAGATTACAGCGGACAAAAGCCGAGCGACGATGAACCCGCTAATGATCTAAGCCAGGGAAGAAAAGAGGTTGGACGCACCTAAAAACATCGGTGTTTATTGATTATGCCAAGCGAAGAAGGGTTGTTGGTAGCTGAACAAGAAGAAAGATTAGTGAAAAAATGATTAGAACATCGTGCAAGTTGCTTTTTGGCGGAGGGTCGACCAAAAAAAAAAAACAAAAACGAGGGAACGGCTGACAGTTAAGTGACTTCACCGACTGAAAGTTATTTACCGCAAAAGGATTGGACTTCTGTCGAAGTGCACTTATGTTTATTTCTTTTTACTTTTCTCGGCTTTTTTTTTTTTTAATTTTTTTTATTTTATTTTATTTTTTTATTTTTTTTTAGCGGGGGTCTCTTCAATCTGTCATGAAAATAGGAAGTCGTTTGTTAAAAAATATAATCATCAGTTCTCTTTTAACAATGTGTGGAAAAATGAAAAGAAAATTACGAGACATGACAGAAATCTTTTCTTGTTTTTTTTGTTTTTTTTATTTCTATATTTTTGGGGCTTCGTTCAAGCGTAATTCTTTTTTTTTGGGAAACAGTCCGGTTGGGTGTGCAGTTAAAAAAAAAATGTCGATGTTAAAAGTTAAGTGAAAGGATTTTAAATGTCATCCGCAGTTTTAATAAAATAAATAACCATAGACCCAAAAATAAACGAACTAAAAATAATGCACTACAGAAATACAGGAGCAATCAAAAGTAAAGACTATTTGCGTACTACCCACCGAAACCCCTACTGGATTACGAACCTGATTGGGGACTCTGGGCAGTGTTTTGTGACCCTCGCTTTATTATCAACATTTGTTTTGTTTTCTTTTACTACATTTGTGTATGTTGCAAATTAAACTAAATAAAAGTGACTGTTAAAGGATAAATATATATCGCGTATTTTGAAATCATTCTGGTGGGTTTTATTTTGATGTCATTTTAATATCTGCCTCATCAGAGTGAAATATCTATCATCTCTATCTATCTATCTATCTATCTATCTCATTCTGTTTTATATCTATACATCTGATCTGTTCTTAGCTATCTATCTATCTATCTATCTATCTATCTCAGTGTGTTCATATCTATCTATCTATTTATCTATCTATCTATCTCAGTCTGCCCACATCTATCTATCTATCTATCATCATTCATCCATCTATCCATCTCAGTCTGCTCACATCCATCTATCCATCTATCCATCCATCCATCCATCCATCTATCTATCCCATTCTGTTTATATCTGATTCTGTTCTAGCCATCTATCTATCTCCATCATTCCATTCATCCATCTATCCATCTATCTATCCATCATCTATCTATCTCTGTTTTCATCTATCTATTTATCCATCCATCTATCCCAGTCTGTTCTTTCATCTATCCATCCATCCATCTATCCATCCATCCATCTATCCATCTCAGTCTGTTCATCTATCTATCCATCTATCTATCCATCTATCTATCTATCCATCTATCTATCTATCTCATCCCTGTTTATATCTATCTATACATCTGATTCTGTTCTTAGCTAGCTATCTATCCATCCATCTATCCATCTATCTATCTATCCATCTATCTATCTATCTATCTCAGTGTGTTTCACATCTATCTATCTATTTATCTATCTATCTCAGTCTGCTCATATCTATCTATCTATCCATCCATTCATCTATCTATCTATCTCATTCTGTTTATATCTATCTATACATCTGATTCTGTTCTTATCTATCTATCTATCTATCTATATATATATATATATATATATATATATATATATATATATATTGTTAGAGTGAGCTAGCCATTCTTTATGGTGGATGTTGAAGTCATCGCAAATATGAAAGCTGACCGAAAGATATTGAGTGAGGATATTATCAATCTTCTCCAGATATTCGGACGAAGATTACCGTCACTTCGTCCTATATATATATATATATATATATATATATATATATATATATATATATGTGTGAAAAATTTCTCCGATTTAACCAGTAGAGAAGATAATATTTATGAATAAAAATGACAATAGGAAAACTGGTAATTGCTGTAATTTCGTATTTTGCTTTGATAATGTCCACATTGGACGAAACGCGTCAGCAATTACTAGTTTTCCTATTGTCATTTTTATTCATAAATATATATATATATATATACATATATATAATTATTTATTCGAAAATTATAACATAAGTATGTTATAAGATCACTACAAAAATAGCCATTTTGTTTATATTAATATAGGTTAATCTCTCCTGCAGAAGAGGCACGGCGGGGTAATGGATAGCGGCTCGAATTGAGGAATCGGAGATTCCAGTCGAATCCATTACATTCACTTTCGTGCTAATACCCTTGGGAAAGGTGAATCCTGTCTTCTCCTCCAGCTATGGGTAAATAGTAGGACAGACTGGGTTCTATAGCCTTGGATGGCAACTGGTCTAGGAGAAGGACAATTCTGAATTCAAAACTTGCGGAGGGTCGTTTGGGGACTTTGTGGCACGTAGTGCAATCTGGTCTCTGTATTCGGCTCTTTTTAAAAGTGTGGATGGTTCTGCACGAAATCTCATGTGCAGTTGTCGGGCACTCGGTTTCCTAGAACTGCTCTGCTCGACCCTCATACGTCGAATTCGACGGGAGAGTCGAGTATATATATATATATATATATATATATATATATATATATATATACTAAAGTTACCAACGAACTGCACTAAAAAATTCAAAAAGACATATTAAATATTTAGAAATCAGATGAAATATTTATCAAAGAAGTTAAGATGTGTAATCATTACAAAATCGACATGGATAACTACCACCAAACTATTATCAAAGAATCTAATAAGTTTTATAAAAAGATGACCTGTGGCCTGGTATTGAAATCACAACTATTTGGGACTAGCCACTGGATCGAATCAACATCTTTATCCATTGTATATCTCCAGACAAGTTTGATTAAAAAGAACCAACAGGGTATGTCAGTTTTAATTTGAGTTGAATATTGTGCTCAAAGTTGTGATAAACTGTCTGAAATTCATATTTTTGTTATTTTCGTTCAAGTATTTTCGACTTTTCAGTCCTCATCAAGAACCGATATAGTGTCTGTGTGGTAGTTAGAATTTTGTCTGCATCCTGGTATTCTTTTGAGAAGCTGGACATTTGAAATGGTCTGGCATGACGTCATGTGTAATGGCCATTGCGAATGAGGCTGCATAAAAAGAATGTCACTTATTAATTTAAATGTTTATTATTATAATACTGATAAAATATATGCACACATTAATTATATGATATGCACTTCAACATATCATTGTAGGTATTTTATTTAATGTTGGCTGTTAATTTTGTATAATAATAATAATAATAATAGTTTCTAGAGTTTTGAGTCTTTACTTGCATTGGGTGCTGTAGAATATGTCGGTGTTATCGACTAGTATTTGTCTTATGTTGATAGTTTTATTTTGGTTGTTCATGATGTACTAGTTGATGTGTTCACGAATTGCGCAAAGTTTCCACAGGTGACAGGTCAATCTACAAGAGAGTGTGGTGCATGTGTGTTCAATGTAAATATTTAATGCTGTTTTTTGATTATTAGTGTTGGAGATGCAACCTCAGAGTTTTGGCATATGATATCCATGTGTTCAGCTGTGGTGAACCATAACTTGGAGATATGAGTTAAAGGGAAATAACTGAGACCTCTGGAAGAGGCACGGCACGTGGAACTAGAACAATCTACCCTGGTGGACGAAATAAAGGATTCGGTTCGAAATTCCAATCACCTGAAAAAGACAGGAGCATGAAACGACCGAAACCTTGTGAATATGGCAATGAAAATGAGGATAACAGTCCGAATAATGTAAATAATGCAACTAGTCATAATACCTCATCTCAGAGATATAGACAGAAGCATATATATGTTTACAATTAATCCAACTTCAGTTTGAAATAATTTCCGTCCAATGTAGATTATTTATTAACTTCGGCAATAAGGAAATATTTGATAAAAATAAAATAAAATATATAAAAGTATTAGAACTAAGCAAATATAAAGTAAATATAGAATATTTAGAAAAAAAACAACAAAAAACGAAAAAGGTAAAAATAAACAGAGACGTCACAATGTGTTATGGTTTAACCCCCTTTATAATCGTAATATTTAAGCGAATATTGGAAGAATTTTCCTAAATTTAATTCATGAACATTTCAATGTAAAGATCATCTATAGCTGCGTTCGAAATATCGAAATATATATACCCAATAATAACAATTTTATACTGAATAGCTACATCACAAACAAAAACAACAACGTTAATAAATTTACAAAAAATAAATGCAACTGCCGAAAAGTTACGATCTGTCCTTAAACGGCTAATGTATGACTGAAAATATTGTATACTGAGCTAGCATACATTCCGATAGCGATATCAAATTTCTTATCGAATCCACTGAAAATCCTTGAAAAATTCGTTTTTATTATCATTATTTTAGGTAATGTAAGATACATGAAGAACTTGGCTATGGAAATTAAAGAATGGTGGTAATGCACCCATAATTACGTGGGATATTGTAGCTAAAACCAAATCTTACAATGGGAAAGGCAATAGATGGGATTTATGCCTTGTAGAAATATTAGCTTAAAACACTTATTAAACAGGAGAAATGAATTGATGGCCTGATGTAGGCATAAAAATAGATACCTAATGCAATACGTTGATCTAGATTAATTTATATGAATGTAGATTACAACCTTTTCTTTTTTAATTGTCTACTTATCTTCTATCGAGTAAATTTAATTTATTTAGTATGAGTGTCTTTCTATTAGCTCCTATTAGTTTTTTCTACCTATTTGTATATATTTTTGTAATCCAAAATAAAAAAAAAATACATCAAACCCCGTTGATTTTAAATATGAAATATAAATCCTGTTTGTTTTAAATGGGGTGGAGTTTCTTTTTTTGTATTTTGCCAAAAATCTTTAGATACAGAATGCGATGGGTAAATTGTCGCCATTTTATATTTTTAATTTCACGCATGCGCGTTGTTTGCATTTAGTTTTGTTGACTCTACAGTATAACAGGTTTAGTTGGGCATCGTCTGTGAGAAAGAATGGATCATGACGAAATTCACTCCGACAGAAATTTGGAAACGGCATTCTCTACTGCTTGGCTTTCGCGCCGAAAGCTCCAATACGAACATTTCAGAGTATTTCGGTGTCAATTCGAGGACAATGCAGAGGATTCGGAAAGAGTTGGATGAGTCTAATGGTGATTACAAAGGTATTTGGAGGGATCCCTAGTAATAACGGCATTATACCTTCATTCATATTCCAAGAGGGTTTTAGACGCAACACGGAAGCTTACACCAGGTGCCTTGAGAAGACGTGCTGCCCTGGGTCAAGAGGATGCCTGCTGAAAGCTCCTATGTCTGGCAACAGGACTCTGCACCATGCCACACAAGCAGGAGAACCCAGTCATGGCTGTCAGACAATTTGTGCGTCCACAACACCCCTTACATTTGGCCACCAAATTCCCCATACTGCACCCCCCAATTAGTATGCGTGGGGCGCAGTTTAGCGAGAGACCAACAAAATTCCTTGTAGCACCAAAGATGAAGGCAAGGATTATGGCAGCATTCACCAACTTAAACAAGGTGATCATCCAAAAGAGTTGCAGGAGATTCCGAAGTCGTCTGGAGATCGTGGTAGAAGCCAATGGCAATTTTATTGAATAGATTTATTTAGTATTTTATATTTTTGTGTAATTTTGGTAAATATATTTTTTAAAGTTAGTGTTATTTTCATTTTTGTGTAATTTAGATGGCAATTTATCCATCGCACCCTATATGTGTATGTGTGTGTGTATATGTGTGTGTGTGCGTGATTATTAATTGTAGTGCGCAATTGAGCAAGGGAACAACAAGTGTCCTTGTAAAACCAAAGATGAACTGAAGGCAAAGATTATGGCACTAAAATATCAAATAGAATATTTATAAACCAATCACACTCAAGAAAAAACTTAAATCTTAAAACACACCAATAAAATCATAGATTACAAATCAGAATGTTTGTCGTATTAGTCAGCATTATTTTTAGGTAGATACCGACTAAACATCGTACGAACGTAGTAGTAGACATACCACGTGCCCTTTTAGAGCCAATTAGGAATAAATAAATAATTTAATTCTGGAGCCGATTTTGTTCGGAAAAAGTGTATAAAAACATACGAAATCCGTTCCCAAACAGGGATACACACAACTGTCACCAAACTCCACGCAACTCTCGCTTATAATCTTCATGACCTCATGCTAAAAACGACAGCGCTGATAAACTTCAGACAACACCGCTAACAGTAAGAAAAAATTCCTATCTCTCGTATCCGTTTTTACTATGAATCACGTACACACACACATATCACATCATTTTATTGTTTCTCACATACGTACACAAAGAGAATTTATATTTTATTTCAGAACTTTATCAACCCAAACAAAAAGATATTATTTTCCAATCTATCATCAAGTGCTTGAATTCTTGTCGTTATATTAAATTAATGTTTATTTGTTGAAACTATGTTGTCTTTTCTACTGAATTTTATTCCTTCAATGAAAATCGTGTGATTATTCTAGGCGGTCAAATAACGAGCGACTCTGTAACGATATTTTGTTAATGTATCGAATCCCGACACTCCAAATTTTAACATTCAACGAAAAAGGGAGTA